TAGCTAGTTGATCGCGTTGATCCCATCGAGCGGGATAGTTGCCGCCTTCAGTAGAGATTTCGGACCTTGTATCTCTTCAATCAGCTTAGGCTTTAATATCTTTGGCACGGGGTCGCTCGATAGCAGATTCTTGAGCACCTTCCAATTGTATCCCTGCGCCAGTTGATACAGCTGTCAGCCTCCCATCTTCATCGCCAGAGCATCGTCCACGAATTTTATTGGTTTGTCGATCGATTTCGCACTGCGATCGTGTTGAATCGATCCAGACACTTCTCTTCTCACTCGATCTGCCTTCAAAATCTTCTTCTACGACATTTCCTGAGTGGTCTTAAGTAGTTTATGTTGAGTTTTCGCTGAAATGTTTTCACCCGGCGGATCGTACTTTGCAGCACGATCCGCGGTGGTCCCCGAAGGGACCTCAGAAGGGGCTCGAGATTTATCTACTAGATCTTAAGATCGATCTTCCTCGTTCATTTCTTGTTATCCGACCCCCTCCAAAAACTTTGAAAATTTGGGGATTTTTTTTTAAACTCACGCGTCTGAGTCGACCCCTTGCCTCCAACGCTTCCATACCAGATTCATTCTTGACTTTTACCTCTTAACTCTGGGGTTCACGGTGAAATCCCAAGAAAACAGATGATCCAGGCACGCGCACCATTATCGTGGAGTTGTGATCGCTAAATTCTTGAGACGAACCCTATTCTCTACTGGCGCCCAGACGACCGACTAACGGAGTGGGTACTCCGATTCCGTGTATTTTGCTTTCCTCACCTTGTGTACCCGATCGTAGGGCGGGTTGCACTCTTCCAGGTGGATTTGTGCTGAGAGATAACTTGACCGTGTTGGGGATGGGTTGGTGTGATCGGGCGAAAATCTTCGCGCGATCACTGGGGTATCGATGGGGTACTGACATAAGTTACCCTGATCTCAACGAGATCGCCTTGCTCACTGAGTGGGTTCTTGACACGCGAGCCTTCTGACCACTTGAGCCGTCTCTCGCTCTTGTGCCTTGCCTTTACTGTCTTGCTGCGTTCGATCGCAGTTGTAGTGACCTTAGAATTCTTGAAAGCACCTGGACAAACAATCCAGGTGCGACACTTGTATGGACGAATAACGCAACTCTTTATTCGTCGGGAAGCCAAAGATCCTGCACGGAAGAGATTGCCTGAGTCTTTTAAAGTAAATCGAATTCTCTTTAAAACTAATTCATCAACCACCCCTGTGCTTTCTCCGTGTATCCTAACCGGATGCCTCGCGTCACCGTTTCAGGAAGTTCATCCCCTCGTATTGGTGTGGCCCACACCAGGTGTATCATCAGTCGATTCTTTTTGTGGTCCACCCGAGCTATCACCACCATTTGACCTCAGATCGTGATCCAAGGTCCGGATCGTGATCCTAGGTTCGAATCGTGGCCCTGGGTCCGGATCGTGGTCCTGGGTCCGGACCGTGATCCTTGGTCCGGATCGTGATCCTGAGCCAGGATTGTGATCCCTAGGTGAGGAATCACGAATCTTCCCTTGCCCCGTCTCACAATGGATCACACAATTTTACTAGTCCAACTGTCATCTAGCCTTGTCATAAGTGATATCGATCCTGCTTACTGGGGTTAGGTTCGCTATTGCTAGCCACCCGTCCCAGTTTGTGTCCACCAAATTGTGCTTTGGACCTAGCTGAGGTGTGAGATTCGCCCAGTCCCCCACTCCAACTGACCCGTAAATTTTCTTGTGACCGCTTTGCCACAATGTCAGAAAGTAGAACCCTTTCAAGCCTCATGGATGGCGTCGCGCTGCGTAACTTTCACCTACAATTTCACGGAGCCATTTTTACCGTGATCGATGACTAGCTCGATGTTGTGGCGTACCTGGAACGTCGTTATTCATTCGTTCGAAAACACGCCAGCTGCTCGCCTCGGATGCTTTCTAACATGAAAAACTGCACAGATGTCACCTTGATTCGATTACCGCTGAGCATCACGCATTTGACACTGCAGCACCCAGTTCGTAAGGGCCGAGTCAATAAATGGAACGTGAGCGCTAGGTTTCGCATTCTCCTGACGTCGTTCATGTGCAGAAACTTCCGGTGATCACGAAGAATGCTAAAAATTGTCTCCTGAACTGGTGCCGTGAAGACATTGAACTCGCTCTTCGTCTTACAACTGCGACTGTGTGAGAGCGACGTTTGTGTCAAACCACGTCAAATATTCTCCTTCTGTTTACACGTCAGGCTAGCATCCTTTTTGCTTGCGTCAAGATCTTTGTAGCGCGGAGGAGTCAAATGCAAAATTACTATGAGTGGGATTGAGCTGGCATGAGCTGCTGTACACGAAGCCAGGCTCACTTCCTATTTTTGGGGGCTCCATATGAGGTTTGGCATTCTCACCTCTCAAATGTGATTCTCCTGAGATAAATGATGTCATGAAGTTTCACGGGTTCTTTAATATGTGAGGTTTATCTGTCTCGCGAATTTAAAGCTGTTTGTAACGATTAGGGCTCCGTCCCGCAACGTTCCATCACACGCGGGATGGGATGCAGGATATTCCGTCACTATCCCGGGCGTCTCGACATACCGCATTCAGTTATATTCTACTATGTACCGTCGAGAATCTACCACCTATCTGCTTGTACTCCAAAATTATGGTATAGATAAATTGTCGTGTGGTAGTAACTTGAGTGCTCAGATGCCTTGCGATTAGCTTTTACTACCCACCAAATGTCACGGTTGCTTTCGAAAACTCGCACAGCTTTTTTTTTGCCAAGACCATGCTTTAAGACTTTGCTGCTCGCCCGTAGTCTGTCCTTGATGTATATCTGTGAGTTCAATTTTTATAATTCCGGGACAACAACGATTGAAAGGTGTTCTGCTTGCATGAGCACGCCAAAAACGGTACCAATTGGGATTTAGTGGAATAGGTATCGTGCAACTACACGTGTTGAGCAGGTAAGCATTGGTTACAAAGCAAAGCATTTAAACAGTAATAATGTTTTCATTTGTGTACCCTTGGCGCATGGGGAGGCGCTCGTGTGTATGTTGATCTAGTCCTTTTTTATATAATAAATGTAGGGTAAATGCTGAATAAGTTTGTTTCGCGCTTTGCTGCGTCCCATCCCGTCTTGCGCGGGACGAGACGCGGGATAGGCCGATCCCGTCCCAAATTGCGCGGGACGGAGCCCTCGTCACGATGTCTCCGTGTGACACTGATGTTGCAAATATTTTTATCCGCCCAAAGAAAGACAACAACCTCAGCCTCATAACATTGCAAAGGGGCTGCGAAGCATGTATGTTTGCAGGCGAATCAGTAAAGACAAATATGGCAAATTAAAAAGGGGAAAGCGAGGCACACAGAACCGACACAAAATGGACGGCCGCCACCGCACAATGCTTAGTCTGCCACTCAAGCTGGTCGATGCTCGGTTATATGTAGACTTGCATAACGTCGTCGAGTACATGTAGCGTCATCGAGGTCCGGCCGAGTCTGAGAACGTCGATTAGGAACAGAAAGCAGTTGCGTCGTAAAAAATCACAACCAGGTGCGACGCTATGGCTGCTATCAACGAATAGGCTTAGCGACCTTAGTCATGTCATCACTGCACACGTCCTGACGGAGTACGCCTCTCGGTGGCAAGGTGTACGATCAGTTGCACAAATTTAGGCGGTGATCAGTGACGAAGCCAATTTTACATTATCATGCTGGTCCTGATGACGAATGACACCACTCTTATAGTTGCAAGTATGAAGATCTCTAGTCCCACATCGTTTGTAAACCGATAGGAGGGCGCCTGAGATAGTCGAGACCGAATTTGCCAAGCTGCTTCGGATCCAGTTGCCAGAGTTTGCCACGTGCATGGATGCCTCACACATCCAACTTCCCTAACTTGGGTCTTATCGTCGGATACAACATGAATTTTGCGTCGTGGACAGGCAGGCTGTAGTGTACACGTGTTCACATGGTGTCTCAACAAGTCTCACTTGATCTGTCCCTTCATAAATTCTTGGACTGACGCTTAAACCGTAGACATTGCATCCGTTTAACAACTACTTCGTTGAGCGTACCCGTTCAAATAGTGTTAGCGACCTACTGTACTTTGATGTTGGCGCTGTTCATGCGGCACACATGATGGCAACTACACTGAATAGAATAACCCAATTGTACTGACATCTCGCTTCCCCTGCACTCCGCCGACACCCGGTGCAGACGAAAAAGCCAACAGTATGGACTACCAAGTGTTCAGTAGCACACGTTCTACATGTTCTGATCGCCTTCAATCTACACGTCGCAACCGCAATCATGTCCTTCTGCTCCAACGTGGTAATCAAGTTCACAAGAGCTTCAACCAGAGCGCATGTGATTTCCGGCATTACAAGGATTCGCTCTACTACGGAAAGTCTATTTCAGACCGGGTGGCGACGCGGCGTTGTAAGCGTTTCTCCTCTTTTTGTTTGTTTGTTTGTAACGGTGTTTCTTCCCACGCGACATACGCGTCGCTTCTGGCTCTAAAGCTCAGAGAGTGATAAAATCAACCAGTCATCAAGCGCTACAGCTCCTGCCAGAGACCTTACTTCATGTTAAGTACGCGCCCGTCAACTTGATGCGTAAACATCACGTTTCATTACACGTACTAGTTTCACTATGACGTGCGTGAAGCGCTGGTGTTACTTCGACTGTGCACACGCCTATCACCTACAAGAGTGTCGCAGGTCGTGGGATCACCTGCTGCAGAAGTGACAGCCACATGCCGAGTCCCACTCGACGTTGTGGGCTAATCGTCGGACGACTCTCCTTCTCTTGAGTTTACTATTGCTTGTCGTCTGCTCGCTTTCTTCATTTCAGAATGTCTTCTTCACTTTCGAAAAGTCTTGACAGCCACAGGTTGACACTCGTGGCCATAAAGACGTAGGAAAAAAGAGGAAGAAGAGCAAAGAGGAGGAAGTGCAGAGACCGGCAGCTTCGCGACATTTTACGATCGCTGCTGTACGTCGTCAGGCACCAAGAGCGAAACAAAATGCCTTTTTCGAACGACGTGTCGCTAAACCCGCTCTACTCGCCAGAGCACGACCTCAGTGCCCAACCGCACGGGTGTGTGACGCCAACCACATTTCGTGAAACCCAAATCGCTGATCAACCATTACGACAAAAGGGCTTAACGGACCCCATGGCCACCAAGACAAAGAGACGCATGTTCTCGACCCCTTCGCTGCGGAGCTCAGCCACAGCATCTTCAGCTGCTGCTGTGTCTGCTGCCTTCCGTCTGAAATCGAATTTGTCCACTGCCACGAAACTTCCGATTGCGCGACAACGTCCGACAGCGATCCGTGCGGGGACTGCGATCGATGATGGCAATCGCGTTCATGAGCATTGCACTGTTTCTTCACTCTCGAGGTCACATACCCTGCCGGTGTCGTCTGGGAAACATGAGCAAGCGAAGACGGCATCTCAACGGTTTGCCATGTCGTCGATCATGCGACTTCGGACCGTGTCCAAGGACAAAGGGCAATCGAGGCTGGTGTCTAATAGCGCAGTCAAGTCGCTCGACGGTCCATTGAAACGCTGTACGAGCACACACAGTAGCGACACTATTGGCGACAGCGAAGAAGAAGCTGAATACAACGATGAGTGTACTTCAGCTGGAACTCACAAGTCGGCTATGACTTCTGCCTCGCGCTTTGTCAGGGGGATGCCTACGATGCTGAGACGTGCAGTCACTGCTAACAACACATCAAATGAGACCCTGAAGACCCCGAAGACCCCGATGACCCCGCTCGATGTCAGCAGTCCCACCACTCCGCAAGAACAGTTGTCAACCGGTGACCCGGAAGACGACCGGCATTCACTGCTGCTGATGCTGCAGGTTCCCCAGACGCGAAGATACTCCCAGATCCCGCTCATGGCAGCAAGCGAAAGCTGGTGAATGAAGCAGGCGAACGAGATGTCTGTCTTCTTACCGCATGAACTACTCCGAGTAGTATATAAATGTCTTGTTTTGCGAACGTAGCAAAACTCATGAACAGAGCTCTTTACGAGTTTATCTAATTGTCAGTTGTGGACCATTTGTCGGTTCGACTTTACACATACACGTATATGTACATGTTCGTGACCACTAATGAGTGGTTATGTTGTTCAAATTGTGTGCTTATTTAATGGATGTACATTCGCCCACCATCTTTTTGACGTCGTCGCTTGCATTGGCTGTCGTCCACCTGACGAATTAAGTGCGCATCATTACAGGGGAGTGCATCACCAACGAAAGCCGAACGTCGACATGTAGAAGGCCCAATCGCCATGTAAAGAAGGCTGAGTAGTGCCCTGCCGACTGACTCAGCTGCCACCATCACGTTGCACTTTATCATACAGCTGGGAGCCATCCTTTGCTCTTTTGAGCAACCGACCAATACAAGCGACGAATACATTCATCGATACAGCCGTTCTTGATATGAGACCATGACACGATGTGAGTTACTCACTGTTCGCGACATCACGTATGGTAATGGAACGATACAAGCTAAACTAGTCACACCAGTTCTACGACACAGTCCAGGCCAAAACACGTTGTGCTTCAAAGGAACATCACCTGTACGGTTTGTTTCGTGATCGCAGCGTCAACGAATTCGAAAGCCGTACTTCGAGTAAATTGAACGCTTCTGATGAATCAGCCACTATCTTGGACATGTCCAGCTGAGATGGGGCAGACACTACATAAGTTGTTCATCCAGTCGCAAAATGTCAGGAAAGACTGATTGTATCAACTCATGGAGAAAACATAATCAGTAAATTAGAAAAAGCTAATTTAGTAAAAGGTGACAAAAAGTGTAGTGGGGTAGTCCGTTACATGATATTGACACCAAACGGTGTCAATAGGGAGATAGCCTAGAATGACAATTACCTGCCAGTATTACCTGAGATAGATTATATTGAAGGAATTTTATCCTCTTAGGTTAATAGTCATGTGCTACTCGAAGATTGGTTGATAAATGACATATCAACCAAGATTACCACCAATCGCTGCTAGACGCGCGCAATAAGTGGTGTGCAGGTTGTCGTCATACGACGACGTAGTTTAATATAGTTAGATAAAGACTGAAGTCATATTGATAGCGAACGTAAAACAGATTGCCTGAACTCCGCTGTGAAGCGGGGGTCCCTGTCAGACACGAGTTCACAAGGTAACCCGTGGAGTCGGAAGATACTAACGATGAAGACACGAGCACAGCCCTGGGCTGTGATTGAATCCAGTACAGCAACAAGATGTACCATCTTGCTGAACCGATCAAGAAAACACAAGAATACCAGTATTCTTGTGAACGTCTTTGAGAAACCCGAAGAAGAATTCCATCGATACGGACTGCCAACACTCTGCCGGAATCGGAAGAGGCTCCAAGTGTGCGCGGGATGAAGGACTAGGCTTCACCCGTTGACAAACTTAGCAAGCGCGAATGTATTTGCGCACAAGCTCACACTGGCGTGGCCAGTTGAAGTCACGACTCACCATGAGGTGAGTCTTTTCTCTACCGCGATGCCCACTGGTCGGGGCATCGTGACACTCACACGAGGACCGCAATCGCAAATCATTTATGAGCGGGAAAGACTACACGAGGCGTGTAGCCGTTGACTGCTGTATAGTACAGCAGTCCATCACGAACCGAATACCGTTAGGTTGAAGAGCGGTATTGAGACTACAAGCTTTGTAAAGCTTGATTACGCGGATTGGATACGTAATTCATCAATCGCAGAAGAGATTCATCTTCTGCATGTGCTTTCTGCACGTCGTCGAGCAGATTCGGCGACGGAACACTCACTGATAGTGTTTCTACAGTAAGATCACCCCTACTGTTGGGTTGAGCAGTCGGCTGAGAAATCGGGCCGACGCGAAAGATTACCAGCGACGACACTAAATCGTCATGGTTTATACTCGACGAGAAGTTGTATTCCGCAAAGAAAGACAGCCACATCGGCATTAGTTGCGAGAGGTGTGGACTGTTTACGGCCGTGCGTAACGACGCATGGTCCGTACAAACGATCAAGGGCCTATCTCCTAAGAGATATACCCGAAACTTAGCCAGTGCAAATTTCATGGCAAGGAGTTCCTTGTCATGCACCGGATAATTTTGCTCAGCTTCTTGCAGCTGACGCGATTGATAACAGACGACGCGCTCAACGCCGTCTGAGTCGTACTGCGTTAACGCGCAGCCGATTGCGAAATAGCTGGCGTCACAGACCACGTGAAATGGTATGTCTTGGTCCGCAATCGCCAACAAAACGATTGTATCAAGCTTTTCTTGGTGCCTCAAAAGAGTGGTAATATTCAGCGCTATATGACCACCTCTCATTTTTCTTTAATCGACGAGAGAGATATACATTCATCTCGGCATTGTTGCGCGAGTATTTGTGCAAATACGCTGCCAAGCCAAGGAGATTTCGAAGTCCTTGACGTCGACTGGCACAGGCCAGTCGATAATCGCCTTGATCTTTCTGGTTTCAGGGCGTACGCCGTTTTTACCCACGATGTATCCAAGAAGTGGTATTTCGTTCGTTGCGAAGATGCACATCTTGAGGTTCGCGAGCAACTTTTGCTCTCGCATAAGTATAAGAACCTTCCGGACGTGGATCCTATGAACCTCCACGTCCGTCTCTCCATCTATAGCCCGGATATGGACGAATACATCTTTAAAGTAACTCGGTGCAAAATCTCGGATCGATTGCAACAGATTCATAACCCACCTGATGAACGTTGCAGGGGCGTTACTAAGCTCCTTTGATATCACTAGCCACTTCCAAAGCATACCACTGAAGGTGCTCACTGCTGTGTACGAGATGTCCCGCTCGCGCATTTGCATCTGATAGAATCCATCGATCAGATCCATGGACGAAAAGATGGCACTTTTGCCGTACCATCAATGGTTACGTCCTTACTCGGTATCGACGTCCAAGTCGGTACCATCGCAGCATACAATTTGTTGAGCGCGTGCACTATCCGCCACCTTCTTGTGACCTTTCGCACACAGAAGTTCGGAGAGCTGTGTGGGGATGTTGGTCCCCTCACATGCCCAGCCGCTAAACGATCGCCAAAAAATTTGACGATCGCTATGACCTGCTCACGAGGCAGTGGCCACTGCTTCATGACAGAGTACTTCGAGTTGGGTTTCAGTTCGATCTCATGCCGAGTTCCTTCATCCTTAGGCAACTCGCATGGCACGGATTCAGGTAAAACATCCCTGAATTCAAACAAATCCTTATGCGCAGGATTTGCCTTCAAAGACTCTCAAGATTAAGACGTGTATTTTTCAATCCGGGTCTTCTTATCGAGGACACTCGCATCCATCGATGAGCTACTGAGGACCCTTTTTTTTGCAAACGCTTAGGCCGAACGAATATCGGCGACGTACTCGTCCTCTGTGGCGAGTGCGCAGGTCTGCTTGATCTTTTCACTACACAGATCTCGCAAGTATCTTTAGATTCTATCGTTAACAACTTGATTACCTCCGAAGCTGACTTCGGAGCTGTAACGAAGTCAAGTGAATAAGCGCCTACAATTGATCCGCCATTCGCCAAGACCTTCACTGTCTCGGTAATTTCCCGGGTAAACACATCCGCAGGTGGTTGGGGATCCACACCCTCAACATAACACTCTCGGGAGTTATCGCTCTCATAAACGCAGGACCTTTCTTGCATTACGAGTACTGAATGTGGGCGCCCTACACAGTCACGTCCTATTCGGTCGACTCTCTTTTAGTCGATCGGGCTTGCTTTACGGTCGACTCTCTGTTGGTTAAATTTCCTGTAACGTGTTGCTCATCCTGGACAACACTAACCTCTCTTCTCGGATGCACCCTTCTTGGTGTGCATCCGTGTTCCAGTCCACTCGATCTTTTCGAGTGATGAACCTCCGGCGCATCCTGTGTCTCTACACAGGTGCCAGAAGCTGGGTCCCACAGTGTAGTGGCCTTCTACACTGTGATCTTGTGCAATCGTACTGACGACCGTACCACAAGTGAGACCATCGCACTCACTCGTAGTACATCCACACGCTTGTGGACGCTCCAAGACGTTCATCAGATGGCCATCCGATGAACAAACGGCAGGCATCTTCACGGATCGATGCTGCCAACTAACCCATGGCTAGTGTTTTCCAAGCCATGGCAGACCGAGTATGACATCAAATTTTTCATCCAGATTTATTACGATAAAGTCACCATCTTACTGCTTTCCTTCCAGCGTGTAGTAGATTCCCACTACACGCTCGTTCACTGTTACGGATGCGCCTGTAGCAAGGCACACCTTCATCCTCGTTGGAGGGAACTCTCGCTCAACATAGTTGAGCCTACTATCTTCCGCGGCTGGCGTTGAATAAAACTGTTCGACGCCCCACAGTCAACTAGGCCGCGAAGTGACATTCCACTTGTCACTTCGATCTTCAAAGTGATGAGGGACACCCCATCACTAGTGGCAGTAAAACAGTGACTGTGTGTTGGAAGCAATCTACGTCAAGAGTCCTGCAAATTCTTTTGACGTTGCTGGATCTGCAGGGTGCTCCGCCCCTACTGACCCTGTCGGTTTTTTTTGGCGGTCCGACTTGCTGTTGTGGCTTAGCGACATTGTCGGACCCACGCCTCGGACCCTTCCTTGGCCAACGGCGGTCATCACGTCCTGTCTTCGGACGTGTTGCAGTGCTCGGGAAACTACACTCGTGAGCGTACTGTCCAATCGTCTGACAGCGATGGCATCGTGCCGTTCGCTTGTGACTCAGAGAGCGAGAGTTCTCGCTCTCGATGTAACAGAGGTCCATTGGTTCAGGACCTCCGGTTTTCTGTCGTCTCGTCGGACAATAGTTTGACGAGTTAGCCTGAGACTGTCTCAGGCTAAAGTCCTCTTGTTCCGCATACGCGATCGCCTTTTGCAGCGTATGGACGTCCTCTCAAAACGTGTAGGTCGTTACTGGCCCATCCCCAAGGCCGTAGATGAACACGTTGATGAGCGTGTGCTCATCAACAGGGTTTTCCGTAACGCTACTTGCAAGGTAGCGTAGGTGCTGTGCGTAAGCGCGCACATCACGCTTACCTTGCTTTAGCCTCAAGAGGGCAGAGCGTACTCTGAACTTGGCTCTCGGCGGCTAAAACGTCTCTTTGAGCCGAGACTTCAAGGACTCAAACAACTCAAACACGTTTGGGTCATGAAGCTTGAGCCCTAAGGCCCAAGTCTTTGCTCGTCCTGTCAAATTTGACAGGGCTAAGGTGACTTGCATCTCGTCACCCTCGATGTGACGGTCCCTTGCGACGTCGTCTAACTCGACGAACCATCTCAAAAGGATATCTTCATCGGTTCCCTTGTACCTTGAGATATCTGTCTTCAAGGTTTCGGGTCGACGCATGTGCGTCGGCCTGCCCATCCACTGATGGGAGCCTTGCTGTTGTAGCAAGGCTATATTCTGTCTTTCGACGGCAAGGTCCCCTTGTAGGAACTTGTTGATAGCATCGTGCTGCTGGGCTCTGCTTAGAGACTCCAAGATGCCACTGATGGCGGGTTCGCCCATGAGCACACTCATGCGGCCGACTACCTCCCATTCTGAGTCACTCGGATGGGAGTAGCCTTCACGTGTGACGTGAAAGCTGTCGTCTCCAACGTCCGACATGTTCAGGTTGGACGGACACTAAGTAGTCGTTGGACGGACTACAAAGTGCTACCAGGTGTAACAGGGCATCCTTTGCTTGGGGCGCCGCGAAACTTCACGTACACTAGTACGTGCAGAGAAAGCTAATCTACTCAAACAGCTAGTCTGAGTAAGGGTAAAAAGAGAACTGTATTTTATATAGTTAAGCTATCGATATGACTTTAATCTTTACCTAACTATATTAAACTACGTCGTCGTATGACGACAACCTGCTCACCACTCATTGCGCGCGTCTAGCAGCGATTGGTGGCTATCTATGGTTGATATGTCTTGTATCAACCAATCAAGCAGCGCATGGATATTGTTCTACAAGGGGAAAAAATTCCTTCGATATTATCCATCTCGGATAATATTGGTAGAATATTGTCATGCTAGACATTATTCTTATTGACACTGTTTGGTGTCAATTTCATGTAACGGGGTAGCCCGTTACATGTGTCATCTGAAGGTGCATGCAACATGAATGGTCCTACCTGATGTGCCACGACCAGCCTGCAGTAGACATCAACGGCACCTGCATCTATCCGCGTCTGGTGCATGTTGCATCAATCGGAGATTAACTGAGGTATTAATGGACGGCTCTGGATGGAGAGGCCTATGTGACGTAACCTTCCTGATTTATTAGTGATCTATATTCCGGAAGATGAACTTTACGCGCTGGCATTAACTGCACTGGGAACTTCATCGCTGGCCTAGCATCGCGTTGAGGTGCTGGGGTTATTGCAGCAGTGATTACGAGCTCGCAGCACAACTACACAAACTTTCCCGTCCTGGTGGCTTCTCAACGCCGTCACAGCATCGCTAACTTATTCTATCAACACCGTGGTAAAGCGTCTGCAAGGGCGTCGCATTACGCTGAGCCAGCAAGCCACAGTAATGAAGCAGCTCAGCGTAAAGCCGATCAAATAAAATTGGCGCAATAGGTCCACTAATGAAACCGCTGCCATCATTGACTAAATCTATTTGTTGAGTGTTAACGCTATTTGCTGAGATAGGCTGATCCACAACTATCATGAGTCCATTAGATACTACGTTATACGACTTCTACAAGATATGAATGAAGAAGTAACTGCCAGACTCATCAAAATGTTTCCTTTTTCACTTTCGGCATACTGGACGGCATCGTCGACATTGTCGCCATGTGGGATAAAGGGAACCAGGCTTATGAGCAGGCCATCGCACCAACAATACCTCACGAGTTGGTTGCAGTTCCGAGACGTGATTTCAGACATCTTGTCTTGTATATCGCGTCCATTTGTTTTGGTCTGAGGAGGAGATGAGCCAGATCACTGCACAATACTAAGCATTATTGCTGCGATGGATATAAGACGGGATTTTTTAGCTAGTTATGCGCGCCTGCAGCTCCTTTACCACACCTAATAAAGCCCAGGGTTTTTACTGCCTAATTGGCCGAAGCAACACGCTAAGCGAGTTCTCAGGTGGACTAGCCTTTGACTTTACCAAAACAGCGTCAGTGTAGTCTAACTTCTCCTTTCTCACGTTCGCAATCCCGTAAGTACCAGGTCGCTAATTGACTGCTTATGGAAGAGCTGCTTGCACTGAAAGCAAGCTTATCCGCTCAAGTTAAGGCATTAGACGTAGTCGACTGTGGACACAAATATTCCTGATCACCTCGGGCTCATGTTTGATTCCATTCCAACATCTGAGAAACGCGATAGTATCAAGTATCCTAGATGTCTAATATGCTTAATCCCAGATGGGAGCAGGTGCCTGGTGTGAGTTTGATTAGGCAAATTCGGCATTTGCTTCATCTTCAGAGGGCTTGTTATCTGTTAACGGTTTCTTGCAGAATATTATTGCTACACAAAATTTAATTAGCATTGCTTAATGTTATGGTGCAAGACATTATGAGCCGTATAATACGACTTCTAAACTCTCTGATAGATTAATTTGGATATTATCGATAAGATAGCAAAATGGATTTTATGAGCTTGATAAACATCCAGCTAAATCATGTTGATCAGGATGTAAAATCAAATATGATTTAATTAAATTATAAAATTGGGATTAATCAAATTACAATTTAAATTATATGGACGTACGTGCTAGATAAAACGTAATTGGTGTTTTAATTGCGCATTAAAATTAAATCAATAGATTATCGCTTGTAACCATATTTTTTAATAGTAAAATATTGCTGCAAGAAATTATTTATGACCATAATGCATGCTGGTAAGTAGCCATTTAATTTGAAGTCAAAATGTGAGTCCTGGGGAGGGGACAAGTCTCACACGTGACCACCCCGTTCTACAAACCTTCCGCTCACTTTTAAAGTACGTAGACGGTCCCATAGATGAATGCTTGCGCAGCACATATCAGTCGGTCTTTAGTCCATCACGGCGAACAGTCGCCCTTACATCAGCATCAATCGAACATCTGGTTGTGCATACAGGAAATGGCCAAAGCTGTAAGGATTTCTCACACAACTTAAAGCCACCGACAATTTTACAAAGCACCACCCTTGCACCTTATGCCCGTACAGTTGCAACGTGCTTGAGGTTGATATCAAAATGACCTTTATCTCGACTAGTACACGGCTTTAGCCTCAACATCCTTCCCTCCCCACCACTCTGGTCCTCTAGATCCACAGCGCACACCAACCATCTTGCTCATCGGCTACAACTGCTTCTGCCACGGCCACAAAATCATCGTGTCGATATCAATCTGACCACCAAGCGGTCCAAAACAATACCCACCCACTCTAATCCATCGCTTTTCTCGAAATTGCTCCCCCATCGGATGCGAGTCAAGCGACGCAACAGCTTCTCCGTAGCAAACACACTATCATTTTGCACCAATGAACTGATCGAACGCCACTCCACTCGATCCAACTCGGTTGAAGTTCCTCAAGTACAAAACAAAGCCGTCGACATCGACGACCATCACTCTGCTCCAGTCTCTTTTGTATACTAGCGCCCCTGCCCTCCTCTCCCTCTCGTCCTCATTCTCCAATTGTCGCTCTCGCGCGCACTCGTCCCTCTCCCTCGTCATGATCAACGACTCGCCCGCTTGGAAAGCGCTGGAAGCGCACGCGGCCGAGATCCAGGCCACGCACCTGCGCGACCTCCTGGCCAACGACGCGCGCAACGCCGCCATGCGCACGCACCAGGAGGGGATTTACCTGGACTTTTCCCGTCAGAACGCGACTCCCGAGACACTTGATCTGCTGCTGGACCTCGCCAAAGCTGCCGAAGTGACCAAGAAACTGCAGGCCATGGCGTCCGGAGAGCACATCAATAGCACCGAGGACCGGGCAGTGATGCACATGGCTCTGCGCGCTCCCAAGACGCGCTCGCTGCTCGTGGACGGCCACGACGTGGTCCCTCAAGTGCACCAAGTGCTGGATAATATCCGGAGATTCACCACCAACGTGCGCAGCGGCGCGTTCGTTGGCGCGACGGGCAAACCGCTCAAGCACGTGATTTCTGTGGGCATTGGGGGCAGTTACCTCGGCCCTGAGTTTGTGTTTGAAGCGTTGCGGCACGAGCCAGTGGCTAAAGGAGCAGCAGCAGGTCGGACGCTTCGCTTTTTGGCCAATGTGGACCCAGTGGATGTAGCGCGAGCGACGAGTGGGTTGGACCCAGAAGAGACGCTGGTGGTTGTCGTGTCCAAGACCTTTACCACTGCAGAGACGATGCTGAATGCCCGGACGCTGCGGAAATGGATTGTGGACGAGCTGGTGGCAAAAGGAAGCTCGGAGGCTGAAGCTGTGGCCAAACATATGGTGGCGGCGAGTTCGGCCGTGCCACTCGTGCAGGACTTTGGCATTGCTCGAGACAATATCTTTGGCTTCTGGGACTGGGTTGGTGGACGCTATAGTGTCACGAGTGCTGTGGGGATCTTGCCTCTGGCGCTGCAGTACGGCTATGACGTCATGGAACAGTTTCTGGCAGGGGCCCACGCAATGGATAAGCATCTGCTGGAAGCTCCTCTCCGCAGCAACCTGCCCGTGCTCATGGGTCTATTCGGTGTTTGGAACTCGTCGTTCTTGGGTCACAGTTCCCGTGCGCTCCTGCCGTACTCGCAAGCACTGCTGCGGTTTGCTGCTCATATCCAGCAGGTTGATATGGAAAGCAATGGCAAGCGGGTGAGTATCGAAGGCGTCGAGCTGCCGTTCCAGACAGGCGAGGTGAACTTTGGCGAGCCAGGGACCAATGGCCAACACAGCTTTTACCAGCTTATTCACCAGGGTCGCGTCGTGCCCTGTGACTTTCTGGGCTTCTGTGAGTCGCAGAATCCCGTGCAGCTGGCAGACCAGCCCGTGTCGAACCACGACGAGCTCATGTCCAACTTTTTTGCTCAGCCAGACGCTTTGGCGCGTGGCAAGTCACTCGAGGATCTCAAGGCCGAGAACGTGGCTGAGGACTTGCGTAACCACAAGCTGTTCCCGGGCAACCGTCCGTCGATCTCGCTGCTTTTTAAAAAGCTAGACGCCTACTCGGCCGGTCAGCTGCTGGCTCTGTACGAGCACCGCACGGTGGTACAAGGTGCCATATGGGGCATCAACAGTTTCGATCAGTGGGGCGTTGAGCTCGGCAAGGTACTTGCCAAACAGGTGCGTGCTCAGCTCAGTGCGTCGCGCAATGAGAATGCACCCGTCGAAGGCTTCAACAGCGCCACCACCAGTATGCTCGAGGCCTATCTGGCCCACAAGTCATAACCAAGCTGAAGTTGCGGTTGATGACACAATGTACTCGTTAAAGGGAGTTGCTACGCACAAGTTTGCAAGAAAACCAAGTCTTTCCTCTACTACTGTGATCCCCCCTTCGTAAATATCAACTGGGACCGAACAGCAGCTTTTGTGCCCGCGAATGATCGAAATTATGGCTGCAACTGGAGTAGTCGTTACACAATGCTACCTCCAACAGTTTGTTCTATATTGAGTTGTAGTAACTGGTGGGTTCTTGAATAGGACGTCTCTCATTCTGTAACCGCTGAGCTGTAGTTTTAGCCAGAACCAGGATGTAACTTTGTACTAGGTTTCACGGGCTGACTCATTGCAAGCATCGTAAGATGCGTGTATAGCATTACCGTCACCGATAGGAAAATCGGTCGGAAAGGAAACTTGGTTTAGCCACAAGTCAAGAGAGGATTGATGCTGTGTGCGATCCATGCGACTATCAATTTCAAGGGTCCAGTGAGCTTTACAATCAGCCAGGTGACTTTGCTGCGATCATAGAGTAGGGAGCAAGCATCACGTACGAACCTTTCGGCGATCTGGTGCTACATTTACGATTGGCCCACCGATTCCTGGTCCTTTGACTTCGTGCGTCTTTTACAATCCCGTCTTTGGTTGTTTCCGGCTGAGCACTCTCATCCTCTTCTCTGTGATCAAGATACTCCAGTAAAAACACAAGGGGTTCCGAACATACATCTATTTGACCCTTGCTCCACCTTCTTCAAGTTATTTTGTGCGTCTCAATCTCTTACAGACCATCTTTGTTCCTTTCCGTCGCTACCGCAATCGCAGAGACCGGATGCTCGGCAAAAATAATCATCCCGTCGCAATTGACAATGGTGATAGCTGAGATCTCGGTCCAGGAATCTGCTTATCAGCGCATAGCGGAAAGTGGTCAATTTTTACCGACGTTGCACATGTCCTTACCCTCGTCACAATCGACCACATTCTATAGGTCACTTCAATGCCAGGAAGATGCCGGTATTCATCGGCTAAATCTTGGCTGTTGTTTTCAGTACCAGAGGCTGAACTTTGATCCCGGCAAGCTTCGAGTCATTTGTGAGTTGCGACGCCAAATTTCTCCGCCGGCCTGTAGAAAAAAAGCACCTTGTCAGTAGTCTATAATTCCAAGTCTTTGGGTCCTGTTCTTGTTTTGTTGTGGGTTGTTTAGGCTTTGTGAGGTGTAGATATTCCTTTTGACGCTCACGGTCATTCATTCAATCGAGTGCCCTCTTACATTCTTTTCCGTACTTCTCACACGAATCCGATAAGTTCGATCCTCCGCGAGATCATTCCATCCCCCAAGCCCATAAGATATCAGAGGTCGTCCGGATTATCGTACAGAACTCGATGTTTACAGTTGCGCTTTTTCTGCACTGACAATGGCTTCACTCTGAGATCGTACGCGCCTCTTCAACGAGTGGCAGAAACTCAACCCTTCGTCACTGGATTGGTCAAAATCCCTCATCCCCCCACCCCCAAGACCCCAACCGCTCTCCTCGTCACCGCTCTTCGGTCGCCAAAAGACGTGAGCAGACAGTCCGTCAGTCGTGGACAAACGCAATCGAGACACGACATTCCGCCGCTCTACCCTCACACCACAAGTCAAACGTAGCCACAAAAGACCCGCCCCTACCCCCACACACAGAAGATGGCGCCATCAACCGACCGAACCACGTCCACGTCCGCCAGCGGGTCCCGTGCAGAGCCGGAGCTCCCGTCGTCAGTCATTTGGGACCAAGTAAGTTCGCGTCCACCATGTACTCCTTCAACCAGACAGCTCCAACCCAAGACACCGTCGATCAAGAGCGACAACGAGGCCAAGCAGCGACTACTGACCTCGCCCCGACGCTGGAAACTGCAGACGTTCCGGTCTACGCAGCTCGTGCAGTGGCGTCGTCGCTACTTTGACGGCATTTTACGCTGGGAAGCTGCTCTTCGCTTGATCTTTGTAGCTCTTCCTACGCTCGTGTTCACGCGCGTGAACAATGCACGGATCGTCGTCTCGTTCTTCTTTGTGTATGTGATGCTGCAGGCGCTGGCCATTCTCTGGGGATTCCTTTTTAACGTTGGAGCGGTGTTGGGCGAGAACATGAGCACGATTGTTACCATGCCCTTCACTCAAGCTATATGCGTCATTGTGGTCTACGTGTCCGTCATGGGCATTATTCTGTCCTTTGGACGGGCCACGTGGATCCTGACGTGGCAGTCGCTGGAGAATTTCCCGCTGATTCGACGCATTATTGCCTGTGAATGCAGTCCACAAGCGGTCATTCTTACCGTCGCAATGCCGCTGCTGATCATTCTTCCCAGTTTGATTTTGGTCCCGTCGTACTGCACTAGTAAAGTGCTGCAAGAGTCGTCCACTCTTATTCACGCCATGTGTGAAGAGTCTTATATGAAGCTCTTGACCGACAAACACCCAGTATTCCAGCGAGCGTTGCGTATATCCACGGCGATCGCAATCTGCCAGTTCATCCAGCTCTCGCTGGAGATTTTGCCACGATGGCGCTCGGCACTTGCTGGACTTGGCACGATGAAAACGTTTTTTCTCGGGGGATGGTTGCTGGGAATGAATTTTTTGGGCGGTTTATGGGCTGTTGAATGGAGCGCACGGCACATTGGTCTTAAGGTCACGCCACTGAGCGATCTCACAAACTACCAGTGGGAGATCTTTGGCATGGCCTTACTTGTTGGATGGATACTTTGGTTTTTGGCAGTCACGTGCTTTACGTATCCCAACGTCAGCAAGTGCGACTCAAATGAGAAGGCGCTCTCGGGCTTCTTCGAGCGGCTCAAATTTACGTTTGTCGTTGGTCAGGGCATTGTGTTTCTTCGAGCTTGTGTGCATCCACACATGGGATTCGTTCACGCGCAGCTGGAGCTTACCATTATTAATTTGTTGCTACCGTCAATCTACGTGGTATCTCTCATCTGTCTTCGAATGGTCAGTCTACTGAGTGCCCGCGCGGTACTCTTTGCCGGCCCTTTGGCCCTAGCAATGGCTACCATTATTTTTGTGAGCTCGAGAATGACAGAGAAGCCCCACGTTTTCGTTGTGGTAGGCCTCTTCTTCTTTGATCAATTCTTGCGCTCTGAAGCTGCTTCGTCTTTGAGTGAGGTGGGCCAGTCTCTCCAACAGATGTTGCAAGAAACAGCTTTTGATAAGGACCACTCGCTTTTGGGTCACCAAACGGCCAAGAAATTTGTAAATATCGCGATTGCTCTCCTACTGTTATTTGTTGCAGCGCTTTCTGGATTCAGCGTTCTTTCTGCTCTTCAAAAAAACGCAAAATGGTTTCCGGATGCCACATCCGTGGAGTATGAAGACAACACGATCTACATTCATCATACGGGAGTTGTAAAGCTGCGCCTGGGTCTTTCGAATCAGTCCAATCCAGCTCTTTTGGTGGACGACCCGCTTTATGCAAGCTGCTCGAATCAATGGAACGGACTAAGTCTGATCGATTTGGCCTTTTTTGCTGAAGCGGCGTACTTCAACCCTTTGTCAAACGACACGGCGGAGTTTATCTCGACAATATTCAACGACGATCTGGGAGACGTTCATGTTTACTTGCCCGCGCTGAACACGAAGACTGGGTCTAAACTAGATTTCTTTGAAGCCCACATTCCGAAGCTCAACACAAGCGTCATTTCTGTGCGAGGTACCGATATCTGGAGATTCACGGATTTTGTGGAGGATGTGAAAATGTTTTTCGAGCCCGTTGTGTTCTCGGTACTGTCGTCAATATTCCCGACCATTCGCATCTGGCCTGACGTCACATTTTCCACGTTGATTGAGCTGTATAGTGAAATGATTGGTTTGTTCGGTCTGCAGCATGAGTCATGGTATTATCATGAACTACTGGACTACGTCACGTCTCTCACGGATCGAAAAGTTGTGCTGACGGGCCATTCAATGGGCGGGGGTATTGCACGACTTGTGGGCTCCATCGTCGGGGCAACGTCCGTGACCTTTTCGCCACCCGGATTCGTTCAGAGCTACAGTAAATTGGTTCATCACATTGGCGGTACGTCGATGAAGGTCGACCGGGCAAGCTTGCATCACCGCAACTTTGCTGTCGTGCCCGAGTATGATCCGATTACCATGATTGACGTTCAAGCTGGCATGACTCAGAAAATCTCGTGCGATACACCGCATCTATCGATGCAGTTGTCCTGTCATATGCTTGAGGGAACGCTCTGCAACTTGGTGGAACACTGTGGCTATGCTCGAGGCAGAATCTCGTCGTGTCTTTTTGAGCACAATATCGCCGGAGCCACGGAGGACATGCTCCCTAGATTGTTGTCGACGATTTTCAAGCCTCAGATGTACATTCTAGTCACAGTGGCGGTACTGATTGCGCTTTCGATTTGGTTTCGTCGTCACCGTCGTAAAATTCGGACACCGCCATCGACACCGTCTTGTCGCGGCGAGAGTAGGATTCCGAGCCGCTTTGCACATAGCTCAGGAAGTGTGCGGGTACAACAAACGTCTCCTTATATCCGGCGCAAGTCCATTTTCTAGTTACCACAGTCGAAAACGCGGTTTTGTGTATGACATCGGAACTTTTCCGCTATCAATAGAGGTAGAAGTATACTAGACTGAATCTATTTGCTCCAGAGTCCAGGTGTGTACACGTTGACCCTTTGCCTTGCATTGAAATTTCTTGCTTGGTAATGCCTTAACATTCGATCATGATTTGCCGTGGCAAAACCTTGACAAATGGTAGAGAAATGCATCGACCCTGCGACGCTACAGAGCCTTTTCATTTAACGCACAAGTCCACAGGAGTAAGCATTACTTTTCTGACTTGCAGTGAGGTCTCCTACGACACATGCATCTTCAATTTTGACAGCAGACGACCACAACCCTGCTTGTGTCCTCAAGCATTTCAATCGAAAAAGAGGTAGCTGACACTTTCATGCATGTAAAATCTCCATTGCCTCCTTGAGTGTGCCGGAGCTACTCGATAACGCCAGGATTTGGAAACGAATCCTGACGCAAGCACTCAGTGCCCACAAATGCCTATTACGCCAACCATGACACTTTGGTTTACCCGCTTTGGAGCGGGGGCGCACACGGTTCGATGGCAACATGCAACAGCTCCTTCATGTTCTCTATAAGTCTACAATCACGCCAACGGGCGATCTGAATAATAAGTGTAAACATGCTATCGTAATTACACCGTTTTAGACCGCAAGGCTGACAATTGCAGCACGAAACGTCTGCACTACAGGGAGTACCAAGAAGCTATGGTACTCATTCCCGGGCTCATTCAACGCACAAGCTTCTTGCCGTCAATTATTATGGCACAAGACTTGCGAGAGCGCGGGGTACCTAGTAGTGCCGACATTCTCGAGCCATCGTGCCACAAAGACGCTAGCAGCAAGGAGGTCTGTCCGTTATTAAGTAGCAACATCTCTTCGAGTTTGAGCTAGCAGTTACGGCTAGAACAGGCATTGATGGACAAAGTACCAACGCGAGAGCAAAGCTGCTTACTAGCTACACTGTCACAATGGCCACTTACATGCTGGCTCAAGACCTTCCAGGCATCTTGCACACCAACTTGTACACGGATGATCGCACAACTCTTCTTCCACCATGTATGCTATGATTCTATGACGTTGCCGCCGTCGGGCACCCGCAATACCTGCTGCTTTTAAAGCGTCTTCTCTTCAACCAGTGCGAACTTTCTAGGCATGAGCTTTGACTATTTTCGAAAAAGACAGCTGGCTGTCATCGACAAATCGAAAAGTGATTATGTGAACCCAGGTCCGACCGAAGTAAAGCATTTCGTGCTTGTATCGTAGCACTTCTTGCTATATCTCTAAATATATCGTCAAGCTCGTACCGGGCTTACAACACTGGAAGATTGTTCCTGACACGGAAGCGCGTTCCTCACCATAGTTTTTACAGGTTACATCGTCACGCGCAGCATGCACAGGATGGTCAACATTTTCATGGCAGTGAACGTCAAATCTTGTTGCAGTTTTTCGCTAGACGACACTCATGACTAGACAATTGCCGAAGCATCACGTACCTAGTCATGGCACTAACACAGCTGTCTAGTCTACCCTTCTGCTCGACCATCGACGTCCTGTACACACATTATCGTACTTACTGCGTCAACAAACTGATGTCAGCTACAGTTGCGAGTCACTTCGACAATCCTCTCCTGACCCGTGGGTTCTGCCAAACCCGACCCACGGGTTCACTCTGTGCCTCTGCCAAGTGGCGGCATTTCCCAGCACGCACGCGGTCCAGACGCAGTTCGATCGCTCTCTCTCTCTCATTCATTCGTGTATACTCAAGCCCAATGAACGACCCATTGGAATGGTACTACGACATCCCCGTCGTGTCTCGGCTCTACCTCACCGGGTCATTCTTGACCACGACAGCGTGTGCATTGGACCTCGTGTCGCCCTTCTCGCTCTATTTCAACTTCCACCTCATCTTCATGAAAGGACAAGTACGTCCAGCGCTCCATCTTTGCAGCCAGCAATAGCTGGAGCTGCCTATCTATCTATTTCTATGTCTCTATTTCTATGTACCTATTTATTTCTATGTCTCTATTTCTGTCTAATTGAGTTTGTGTCTACACTATTCTGCTGTTTTTACTTTTTGTTCTCAGGTGTGGCGACTCGTGACCAATTTCCTCTTCTTTGGGCTTTTTAGTCTGGACTTTCTCTTCCACATGTACTTTGTGTACGTAGCTGCTCATGAGCTGTATTCAGTATCACGTGGAGTGATGGTCGAGTGTTATTTATAACTTTCGTTGCTGTTGTTGTTTTTATTTTTTTATTATTGCAGTGCGCGCTATTGCCGGTTACTTGAGGAAGGGTCTTTCAGAGGTCGGACGGCAGACTTTGTGTACATGCTGTCACTGGGAGCTGGGGCAATGATCGTACGTGGAGTTGATGTGATGAACATAGTATGGAATCTTGTTGTGTACTTTTTGAGCCATAAATATTGACGGGGGTTTTGTTGATGTCCATGGTGCTTGATTTTTTTCCAATTGCAGTTAGTAGCGCCCTTTGTGAGCATCCACTTTCTTGGCTCTTCGCTGACATTCATGATGGTGTACATATGGGGTCGACGGAACGAGCACGTGCGGATGAGTTTTCTGGGATTGTTCCCGTTCACAGCGCCGTATTTGCCGTGGGTGCTCTTTTCGTTCTCGATTCTACTCGGAAACAGTGCGACTACGGATTTGATTGGCATCATCGTGGGACATGTCTATTATTTTCTGGAAGGTTGGAAGATACGGTTACTGCAGATGTGGCGTTACACAGTAGACGGTTTTGTTCACGTCGGACCTCTGACACTGCTTTTTGCGTATTCTGCAGATGTGTTTCCGACGATTGCTGGGATTCGAGGCTGGAAGATACAACAACCGCTTGCAACTCCACGGCTTCTGTAAGTTCATTTGCTGCTCGTGCTCACGCGGAAAATGGCGTTGCTCATGGTTCTTGTTTACTGTAATGATTGAGCAGACGCTTCTTGATCGACCCGCGGCCTGTCGTCGTGGGCGGTGAACAGGTCATAAACGACCTTGGTGCAAACAATGGCGACCACCCCCACATGGAGTAACTACCGGTTCAGCCGATAGAGCAAATCAGGCCTGGACCGTAAGTCTGCCTGTAGAATTCAAGGCGGTATGCTAATATTCTCTTGGTCTTGAATAAAAGCTATGACGGTAGCGACTACACGACGTCCGCGATTGGTTAAGTGTCCATCGCACGGCTGAAGGAATGTAGCAACAAACTGCGTGCTCGATACAGCTCTGGCAAGTCAGCAATTACTCCTGCAGTCGAGATCGTTCTTCAAGCTTCGCTTCCTGCCCCAGCGGAGCACGCGCCGTTGCATTCTTGGGCGCCAGCAGCACGACCAGTTAGAAGTAAGTGACGCATGTGCTCTCAATAGCAATGAAGATCTACATTCGGGCTTGGCGATTATTTCTTGTAGCATCAGGATAGACGATCGACATGCGGTAACCGACGTTTCTGCGTGTATGCGCCAAATCTGCAATACAGTACTAGGAGTGATCTCCGCAGATTGTCTATCATTGACAGTAGTACGGGCAATAAATTGCTGCAACATTAGTTGCGCGGCGATTGTTAAAACAAAGGAACGCGTCAAATTTGCAAAAAGCGCTCTTGCGGTCCGTTGCTTGTTGTTGCCTAGAATGATAGCCGGTGACCCTATTCATCTAGGCCACGTCACGTGCAAAACAACTTTGTTGGATTTTGTCACTTTTGCCTGTTATTTGGGTAGAATCTAAAAGTGCCTTCTCTTACTTTCCAATCATTCTCTGCTCAAAGAAATGGACATGCAAACGCGTATCATTAAGTGTAAATTACGTCTTGTTTGCTGCAAATTAACTCAATGTCAGCTCGTGTTTACTGCACTTCAGCGTCGACACAGGCTTACAATAGCAGCAAATGTAGGGCTGCACTCGAATGTTTTCTACCGAGCAAAAGTCAGAATCGGCAACTTTTTCAAATTGTCAGAGGTGGTGCAATTAGACTTTGACGATGTGATTTACAGGGCGACATAAGAGCACGGAAACGCACACGATTAAGTGCAAAAAAGAGTGAGCATAAAAACTGGGAAGCGTACCACACATCAAAATATACAAAGGAACAAGATGCGTCTTTAAATGTCACTTGAATGTTCATTATTAGACAAATCTGACGGAACAACATTGTGGGTCCACCCTCGCCTGGCAATTGCGAACTGTCACCTGAGATCTGAAGATTATGTGGAAGATGGTAGTAATATGTCCACGTGAATAAGGGTCAGCGTGCAGCAAGACCTCCGACCTTGCTGCACGCTGACCCTAAATCGTTCATGGTGACCTTGTGTGTCGATCCCAGGTGGAAAGAGTAGCTTCGTTTGGTACCATTATACTTTAAGAAATCAGAAACGCACAACAGTCTCGCACGAAAGAGACCATTTTTCTGTTTACACGGCGAGCGCAACCTTCCGATGGTCAGCTTTTTACGTCGTCTGACGCGATTCATCATTTGGATTCAGGATCCGACTTGGTACCTCGTTCACCTCATCTGTAGCGGAACGACTTAGCGCTCCTTAACAGAAGAAGTCCTCGACTCAAAGTGTCTGGTTGGTAAAACAACTAGCAACGACGTACAGTCGATTAAGCGTACAAGCTAAACTATCCCGGTTTCAAAAGGATCACGATACACAGAATACAGACTTATAGTCACTACTAATTAAACAAAAGTAAGCGCTTTTACAAGTCTAAGGCTCTTAACAACAATACGCTTGACTAGATACTTGTGTCCAACGATTCAAAAAGGGAACTGAACTTTATTTATTCTTTAACTACGGTATTAAAACCATAAACCTTGTCTGCCTTCTACGTTGCGATCTTATAACAGCAGTCTCATCCCATATCCCTACCCGAAAAGGTGTTACATTACCGCAAGTACATGGTATCAATACTGTACCGATCCTATCCACCGATCTTTACTTGTTCTGGACACACAACATGTCCGGTTCAATAACTGCGTGTAACTCCGTAATATCATCGTTGTCCCGCCCATGTGTGATGTTGTCTTAGCGAAAGAGAATATCACGTAAGACACGGCCGTCAAATTTGGGCCACAATGGCTTGACACTGACCTTGTTGATCTTATGTGATGTTTGTAACGGATTAGCCCGTTAAGTAATGTTGACACAAATGGTGTCAATATAGAGATTGACTAACGTGACAATTCCCTGCCAATATTACCCGAGATAGGTAATAGTGAAAGAATAGTATCCCTTAGGATAACATTCATGCGCTGCTCCAAGATTGGTTGATAAAGACATAATAACCAACCACCAATCGCTGCTAGACATGCGTAAATGAGTGGTGAGCAGGTTGTCGTCGTACGACAATGTAGATTTACATAGTTAGGTAAAGGCTGAAGTTATATCGATAGCTTGACTATATTAAATACGGTTCTCTTTTTACCCTTTTCTCAAACGATCTGTTTGAGTAGATTAGCTTTCTCTGCACGTACTAGTGTACGTAAAGTTTCGCGGCACCCCAAACAAAGGGTGCCCTGTTACACCTGGTAGCACTTTGTAGTCCGTCCGACGACTACTAAGTATCCGTCCAACATGAACATGTTGAACGTAGAAGACGACAGCTTTCACGTCACACGTGAAGGCTACTCCCATCCGAGTGACTCAGAATGGGAGGTAGTCGGCCGCATGAGTGTGCTCATGGGCGAACCCGCCATCAGTGGCATGTTGGAGTCTCTAAGCATAGACCAGTAACATGCCGCTATCAACAAGTTCCTACAAGGGGAACTTGCCGTCGAAAGACAGAAGATAGCCTTACTACAACAGCAAGGCTCTTATCAGTAGATGGGCGGGCCGACGCACATACGCCGACCCGAAACCTTGAAGAAAGATATCTCAAGGTACAAGGGAACCGATGAAGATTTCCTTTTGAGATGGTTCGTCGAGTTAGACGACGCCAACAGGGCCTGTCACATCGACGGTGACGAGATGCAAGTCACCTTCGCCCTGTAAAATTTGACAGGACGAGCAAAGACTTGGGCCTTAGGACTCAAGCTTCACGACCCAAACGTGTTTGAGTCGCTAAAGACCTTGAAGTCTCGGCTCAAAGAAACTTTTGAACCGCCAAGAGCCAAGTTCAGAGCACGCTCTGCACACCTGAGGCCCAAGCAAGGCAAGCGTGATGTGCACGCTTATGCACAACACCTGCTCTACCTTGCGAGCAGCGTCACGGAATACCCTGTTAATGAGAGCACGCTCATCAACGTGTTCATCTACGGTCTTGTAGATGGACCGGTAATGACCTACATGTTTTGAGAGGACTTCCATACGATGGAAAAGGCGATAGCGTATGCGGAACAAGAGGACTTCAGCCTGAGACAGTCTCAGGCTAACTCATCAAACTATCGTCCGACGAGACGACAGGAAACCGGAGGTCTCGAACCAATGGACCTCTGTTATATCTAGGGATAGAACTCTTGCTCTCTGAGTCACAGGCGATCGGCTCGATGTCATCGCTGTCTGAAGATCGGACACTACGCTCATGAGTGTAGTATCCTAAGCACCTCATCACGTCCAAAGACAGGACATGATGACCGCCATTGGACTAGAAAAGGTCCAAGGCGCGGTTCCGACCATGTCGCTAAACCGCGAAAGCAATTCGGACCGCCTAAAACCGGTCAGGGTCAGTAGGGGCGGAGCACCCTGCTGATCCAGCAACGTCAAGAGAATTTGCAGGACTCTTGGCATATATTGCTCCCAAATACACAGTCGCTGTGTGTTGCCGCCCCTAGCGATGAGGTGTCCCTCATCACTTTGAAGATCGAAGTGACGAGTAGAATGTCACTTCGCACCCTAGTTGACTGTGGGGCGTCAAACAGCTTTATTCAACGACAGTCGCTATAAGGTAGTAGGCTCAAATATGTTGAGCGAGAGTTCCCTCCAACGAGGATGACGATGTATCTTTCAAAATAGGCGCATCTGTAACAGTGAACAAACGTGTAGTGGGAATCCACTACACTCTAGAGGGAAAGCAGTACGATGATGACTTCATTGGTACGGGATCTGAATGACAAATTTGGTGTCATCCTCGGTCTGCCATTGCTTAAAAAATACCAGCCATGGATCAGCTGGCAGCATCGATCCGTGAAGATGCCTGCCGTTTGATCATCAGATGGCCATCCGATGAACGTCTTGGAGCGTCCACAAGCGTGTGGATGTATTACGTGTGAGTGCGATGGCCTTACTTGTGGTACGGTCGTTAGTATGACCGCACAAGGTCACAGTATAGAAGGCCACTACACTGTGGAACCAGCTTCCGGCACCTGTGTAGAGACACAGGCTGCGCCGAAGGTTCATCGCTCGAAAAGATTTAGTGGACTGGAACACGGATGCACACGAAGAAGGGTGCATCCAAGAAGAGAGATTGTCGAGGATGAACAACGCGTTACAGCAAGATCGACTATCAGAGTCGATCGCAACGCAAACACGATCGACTGAAAGAGAGTCTATCGAATAGGATGTTACTTTGGTAGTACACCCATAGTCAGAACACGTATTAGAAGAAAGTTCCAGCATTCCTGAGAGTGATAACTCCCGAGATAGTTAAGTTGAGGGTGTGTTTCCCCAACCACCTGCGGATGTGTTTCCCAGGAAAGCACCGAGACAGTGAATGTATTGGTTAATGAAGGATCAATTGTAGGGGCTTTTACACTTGACTTCGTTACAGCTCCGAAGTCAGCTTCGGAGGTAATCAAGTTGCCAACAATAGAATCTAAAGACTCTTGCGAGATCTGTGTAGTGAAACGATCAAGCAGATCTGCGTACTCGCCACAGAGGACGAGTAAGTCGCCGATATTCATTCGGCCTAAGTATTTACTAAGAAAAAAAGGGTCCTCAGTAGCTCATCAATGGATGAGAGTGTCCTCAATGAGAAGACCCGGATTGAGCGATACACGCCTTAATCTTGAGAGTCTTTGAAGACAAATCCTTCGTATAAGGATTTGGTTATATTCAGGAATGTTTTCCCTGAATCCGTGCCATGCGAGTTGCCTAAGGAT